TGCACAGTGAACCCGTTGATTTTTTACAGCAGACAGCTGCTCCCCTCTCTTGTACTGCGTACCCCCGCTACATCTTTTGGGGGTACGCCGTACCCTGCCGTACCCCCTTACTTTCACCCCTGGCTATAACATTGACCAGCAAAGTTTAAACCGGTGGACTATTATTTATATGTAATCCTTTCACTCTATCAAAAGTAAGATAGCTCCCAAATCTTCCGTTTTTGTTTTGAAGGTTTCCTAAAGACACGATGTAAGGAAGAAGAGGGAGACATCTATAAAGAGAGACGGATTCACTGCAGCACGGATGAATCTCGCATCGGATTTTGGACTCAAACTCAGCTGCTGAATCTCTCTGAAGCTGGAAATCCTCGGCCAGAAAGCAGCCGACAGATAATTTATATTAGGCTATACCATACCAACTTTATTTATAAAGCACTTTAAAACAACCACAGCTGATACAAAGTGCTGTACATCAAAACACAACATAATAAAAAAATTAAAAACATAGTTTAAAAATAAAAACATACAATTTAAAACTAGATCCCGCTGGGGTTGAAGGCCAAGTAAAATAGATGGGTTTTAAGACAAACTTTAACATACATATAAACATGTATAGCCCAATATAAATTATTCAGTATTAATCATTATTCATTTGTTTGTATGTAAATATGTATTGATATTACTAGATAATTTATTAAATAAATTATAAACGGCTGTGTGCTTTGTAAAATGCTCATCATGTCATGATCCCTGTTTCTGTGCGTTTATTTTTGAGTTATTTCTGTGTTTATTATCCTGTTCCCCGAGTCTCTGTGTCTTCCCTGTTGATTGTTTCCAGGTGTGTCTCGTTCCCTTGATTACCCCACGTGTATTTATGTCCACCTGTTGTCGCCATCTCTTGTCGGGTCCTTGTCTAATGTCATACGTTCAGTCTCGTCTGAGTTTGTTCGTGAGTCGTCACAGTAGAACTGTCAAGTCCTGTGGCGACGAAAACTCACATGCGTCAGTCTTTGCTAATCAGTTGCTACCGGTGCTGAGCCTCTGTGTTTCCGCTCTTCCGTGCTGCCTGAAATCTGGACTGTACTGAGCTACACCTTTCATTAAACTCATCATTTCATCTATAATCTGGGTCCTGCGTCTCTCCTCACCACCAACCAACTGACGCATCATATCAATATCAGAATATTCCATTCATATTCTATTGTTACAGCCACTAAGCATATTTAAATATGCCGAACGTATCAACACAATTAAAAAATACTTAAAAAAATACAATTATTTATAAATGTAGCTTTGATGTTTGAATATGGTCTCCACTAACAAAAAGGTGTGTTATAATCAATTAAATGCGCTGATGTCATTGTGCCTGCCAGATATATAACGCTGAGTGGAGCGGTCGACCCTTTCAAGATGGCCGCCCTAAATCTCGAGAGCGGTCCATGACGTGTCTATTCTTATATTATGCCTATAGTCGGGGACAGATTTTGGAATCCAGTGCACACATAAGGCGCACTGCTGATTTTTGAGAAAATGTAAGGCTTTTAGGTGCGCCTTATAGTCCGGAAAATACAGTAATTGTCATAATATATTATTTTAGTATTTTTAAAATTGTTTTAAACTTTTATAATGTATTGAGTCCTGCTTCAGGACAATGGATTTTAAAGACACCATCCACCTACTACAAAGTTTAAAATAAAGAATATTCAGCAAACACCAGGAAAACATACATTTTTGTGCTCACATGACGCAGGTTAGTTTAGTCAGTTATTTGAAAAATTTTTATTTTGTGTATATTTTATTCAAATTTTGTGCTTTATCCATAGTACCTGTCTTGTCCCTCATCTCAAGACTCAAGCCTTATTTTACACTTGTATCACAACAGCATATTGCATTTTCAAAAGTGTAGTGGAGAAGACTCCGACCACACGTCTGAATACAGGTGGCTGCTTCTGTATCTGGTCTGAAACAGCCGCAAAACACCTGATTAGTGATGTGATTAGTGATTCCATGGGTAGCATCGTCAGGCGCCTAGCAGTCATGCTTTTGGACTTTGGGAGGAAGCCGGAGTACCCGGAGAGAACCCACGCATGCATGGGGAGAACATGCAAACTCCATGCAGTTACTATAAAACCCTGGAAGTCGGGCAGGAGACCGACAGGACTCGCTATGAAGCCCTGGATGTCTTCGTGATGGCTAGACAAGACTTACTATGACTGCTATTTCTGCTGGTTCTCTGTGACCCTCAGCCTTTTCTTCAACTGTTCCACTTCAAGCTGCAGGTTTTTGTATATACGCTCAAAGATAGTGCCTTTCTTCTCCAAGGTGGTGTGTTCCTGCTCCAAGGCGGTGTTTATTTCCTCCAAGTAAGTGCTTTTCTGCTCCAAAGCGATGCTTCTTACCTTCAGGGCAGTGTTTTCCTGCTCCAGGGAAGTGTTTAACTGCTCCAAGATGGAGGTTTTCTCCTCCAATTTGGCTCTTTTCTTCTCCAAGGCAGTGTTTTTCTGCTCCAGGGTGGTGATTTTCTGCCCCAGGGCAGTGTTTTTCTGCTCCAAGATGGTGATTTTCTGCTCCAGATCGGTCTTTTCCTTCTCTACAGCGGTGTTTTCCTGCTCCAGGGCAGGGTTCATCTACTCCAAAACGGTGCTTTTCTGCTCCTGAGTGATCTTTTCCTTCTCTAAGGCGTTGTTGTTAAGCTCCAGGGTGGTGTTTTTCTGCCTCAGGGCAGAGTTTTCCTGCTTCAGTGTATTTTTTTCCTTCTTCAGGCTGGTGTTTTTCTGACCCAGGGCGGTGTTTAAATGCACCAAGATGGTGCCTTTCTGCTCCAGGGTGGTGTTTTCCTGCTCCAAGGAAGTGTTCATTTGCTTCAAGGCAGTGCTTTTCTGTTCCAGAATGATGCTTTTTACCTTCATGGCGATGTTTTCCTGCTCCAGGCCAGCGTTTTTCTGCTCCAGAGCAGTGTTTATCTGCTCCAAGATGGCTCTTTTCTGCTCCAGGGTGATGATTTTCTGCTCCAGAGCAGTCTTTTCCTTCTCCAGTGTGGTGTTGTTCTGCCCCAGGGCAGTGCTTTTCTGCTCCAAGTTGGTGTTTTTTCGCTCCAGGGCACTTTTTTCCTGCTCCAGGGCAGTGTTTTCCTGCTCCAAGATGGAGGTTTTCTCCTCCAATTTGGCTCTTTTCTGCTCCAAGGCAGTGTTTTTCTGGTCCAAGATGGTGCTTTTCTGCTCCAGAGCAGTCTTTTCCTTCTCCAGTGTGGTGTTGTTCTGCCCCAGGGCAGTGCTTTTCTGCTCCAGAGCAGTCTTTTCCTTCTCCAGTGTGGTGTTGTTCTGCC